TGCCCTGTTCCAGTCTATATTTGATTATAACTCCAAATGTGCGGATAGACTGGGTGTTGATCAGAGCTACCGAAGCATGAGAGCTCAACGACAGTCGCTGAGATAGAATTGTTTTGAAGAATGGGCCAGTTGCAGGTGGCAAGGGATTGGAGTTAGGCACTTCAAAGAGACTCCGAAAGCTAATAAATATATATGCCAGAAGCAAGTACTTTGGGGGTTAGAATGGTCCAACGCCTTGAAACTTAAACATCAACTATGCACCGTTGCGAGGAGTCCCGGGAGCCAGTCGAAGGAAGTTGGGTCCCTCTGTCGCAAATGCGGCAGAGAGTCTGAAACACTAGCCCATGTGCTGGGAAAATGCCCCAACAACTCCCTCCTAACACGCCGGCACCATAGGGTAAAATTCGAATTGATGAGGCTCCTTAGGGAAAGGGAATTCGTATGCTTCAACGAGGTCTATTGTATTGATAGTGATGGATCAACAAGATACGCGGATATAGTTGCATTCTCCAGAACCAGAAAGGCGGCACTGATCCTTGGATCCAACTGTTCGCTAAGAGAGCAACGACCTCGATCAAGCCAATGAAATAGAAAATAAAGAAATCTAAGAGAAATGCATCCTTTTCCTAAAAGAGAAATTCTGCGAGACCTTCGAAGAAAGATTGTTCACTGTGAGAGGCCTCTGGTCTGGGTCTCGCGGAACGATTCCTAAAAGAACAGGGAGCTTCTTCCAGCAACTTGGTGTTGATGCCCCGGAGCTTGCAGTGTTGGCCAAGAGCATTATTCTGGACTCCCTTGGGATCATTCATCATCACATATATGGTAATTAGGGGTTGATTATCGTTACTTATTTATTTATTAAATTTTAAATTATTTAAGTGGCCATATCCTTTTGTCTATGTTCATAGGACTGTTTTTTTTTTAGCCCTATGAATTTTGGACATTGTCTTACATCGGTTTCACCGAAATATGTATATATAATATATTGTATAATTCTAATTGTATGTATTAGTATATTATAGTACTGATATTGTTGTAATTAGTATATTATAATACTGATATAATTTGTATGTCCAAAAAAAAAAAGATTGATGAGTATGCTGTATATCGAGCAATCCTATATAGTAGGGCAGCATTACTTAAAATAAAGTAAGACTTAACCACTTGCCATTTACTAATGACCTTTTCAAGTTTTTGATAAGTTGAAGCACCATTTTCTCCTTTATCGAATTCCCAAAACATGACATAGCATCCGGAGAGACATGGGTTTGGGGAGATCCATTATAAATGAAATTTCAGCACAGAATAACTAATTTTCTCCAAGGAAAAATATAATAAATTGAGAGTAATTTAAATTATCTAAATTTGATTTGGAAAATTCTAACTTTGACTTTAAAAAAACCCCAATTTGTTTAGGAAAATTCTAAATTAGACTTGGAAATGATATATATATATATAGGGAGCGGGGTAGCTCAGTGGTAGGGCACTGAGCTTCCAATGCAAAGGTCCCGAGTTCGAACCCCGGCTCATGGCAGAAATTTTATTAATCTGTTTCATTGGCCGTGGGGCGACCTTGGGTCAGAAGTCCCTCCTGGGGCACACCCAGCCTCTATAAAGTGGGTACCCTTAATTAAATAATTAATTAAGGGAGAAAACCTGGTGGTTGAGCGTGTTCTCGGTCAAATCACCTCCTTGCACAACCGTTGACCTAGAAACAGTGCTTTCCCTAAATAGTACTGAACCCCAGACCCTTCATGGGTTGTAGTGGTACAGGTTTTTTATATATATATATAATATATATATATATATATATATATTATATGAGTATATATCTTTGGATTATAGCTTATTTATTTATTATATGTCTTGAGGGTTTCGGGAAATGTTATTCCCATCATCAGAAGCATATTATGATGATAACAGTGATGTTGCAAGTCTGTCATCTTTTTTTTTTTTTACGTTTGTAGATCAACAATAATAAAAAGAACGAATAGCTTCCTCTGAATATTTTTATTATAGAATAATATACACAAAAGAGTGCAGCAAAAAAAAAATTAGGAATTATTAAAAAATTCCTGTAATTTTCAGTTGTTTTTTTTTTTTATACGATCTCCGGATATAGGGAAATTTTGGTACACTGGACAGCCTGTTTAAGAAATAAAAGGATTTTCCAAATAAAAGCAAAAACATGAAAAAATTGCTTGTTTTTTAAAATCTAAAATGTAGGACGAATAGGAGGAGACAAAATCCACACTAAGTATATTGATTAAAGAAATAATAAAAACAAAAGAAGACATTCTGTCAACAATTATTATTGAGTCGGAATATTTACAAACAGAAAATAAAATATTTATAAAAACCTACAATAATATTTATTCAAAGAAAAAGAATTTATCTCAGTAATGTATTATTAGTGTTAAAATGAAAATAATGATTTCTGCATTAAATGTAAATTCAATTAATCAAATAAATAAGATGATCACTATAAAAAAAAATATAGATTACAGTTTAATAAATCTAAATGACATAAGTAAGTAAAAAATTGGAGCATGAAATTAATTAATGCCTTCAAGCTAAAGTTTACAAATTATCCATGAATGGGATAAAGATTCTGAACCAAGTGAGCATCATTGATAACAGAATTTTTAATATCATAAAATTACAAAAATGTTTATATTATCAGTAAAAACTATGCCTGTAATTTTCCTAAAATAGATTTAATTTTTAAAAACAAAACAAAAAAACAATGAATGGCAAGAATTGCCATTTTTAAATCCAAAAAAGAACAATAAAAAGTTAGCAATAAGTACATACCTTTACTATTTTGAGAAATAATCAAAGAGCAACTATACATCAAAATCATTTACAGTAGAACCTAGTTTATTTTGAATAATATTATGGCCATGACTATTTTGGGTAAAAAAACTTGGGTGAATTAATTGTGTTCATTAATGTAATGTGCAAGGAATTATATAAATATTCGCCTAGGTAGATAAGAATATAAACAATAAAAAATTAGGTTGAAGCCAAGATATAATTTAACTAAAAAAACACACATGTTTATTAATCCATCTTGAATTAAATAATTAAAACTAACATTTTAACATGATATTGATCGAATTATATTCAATCAAATCAAATTATTGAGAGAAAAACTGGTAGGAAAAGGTGAGAATGCATCTAAAGGAAAACGGAAAATAAAAATAAGTGAGGTTCTACTGTATTTTACATCCAGAGAAATATTATTAATTTCTAAAAAGAATATGACCTTATACTTTTCTAAAAGCTAGCCAAGATGAATGCTGTGTAGGCCCATTTTAAGTTAAGCTAAATCAGTAAATAAACACCTGAATTTTAAAAGCAATGATAAAAATTAAAATCAATATCCAATATCTCTCACTATATACACAAGTAAATTATAGATTACAAATGTTACAGAAATTCTTTTTTAAAATTGTCATATCAAAATAAAAACAATTTTTTAATTTAATACTGTACAATCTTGGAAATTAACACAAGTCTTTTTTTTTATTATAAAAATAAAACTATAATTTTCTAAAACTATAACATAATATTACACCTTATTTGAAAAAAAAAAAAAAAAAAATCATGAGAATTTCATATTTGGAACCAAAGAGGAGTGTACTGACTTTAAAGATACTGTACACCAGAGTGGAAATAGCCAAAATTTGGTTTATCTGTTGCTATACATATACCAATTATATTAAAAATCAAAACAAAGGGTGATGTTTTATACTACCCTTTTATTTATCATTTATTGTTGTAAAACAATTTCAGGATCTTATAACCTTTCATTTATGTTTATATAGCAAGATTTTTCAGTCAATAATTGCTAGTGATAGACAACATATGTCTGTCAAAATCACTTAATGTTTGAGGCGAGAATGGTCACAGTTTTTTTTTCAAACAAACTCCAGTCATTTAAAGGATGGGTTAAGTATAACCAGGAAAAATAAATTTTTTAACTTTCCAAAATGGTTAATTTTTTTTACATGTTTTCATAATTAAAGAAAAATAAATGTTGGTACATTTAAATGAGTTAAATACTTAATTTTTGCAAACAAATTCACATAATAAATTGCAAATAACAAAGGTTTTAACTACAGAGATGTGATCATGAGAATCTCTCTCAGACAAACACACTCCAATAAATTGCTTATGTTAACAAAAATAAAATTGAAAAATTTGTCATTTGTATATTACGGAATGTAATTGAGTCTTGTTTGTTTGTTGGTGATTTAATTAATTAACGCATACAACTTCAAGGTCATAAATGCCTGTAAATTACTTTTGTTTATTTCTGACCTAAATTTAATTTATGCTTGTTCTTTCAATTATAAATAAATAAATTTTTAATTTTTACTAAACAGAGATAAAGAGATTTACTAAACAAAACATCATCATTTTGTGAATGTCGGTAATGGAAGAATAAGAGTTAGAAATATTAAATATTGGAATTTGAATATAATAATTCGATAAAATTTTAACCATTACAGCCTTACATCTCTAAATGCAGATAAAGAATGAAATAGATCTTCAAGGTTTCGTCAATTGAGATATCATCAAGACAGAAATAAAAACTGAAGATCACATCACTCCTAATATAAGCTTAGATCTGATTAGAGATGACCTTCCACAGCCATGTTACCTTACCTTTCCTACAGTATATGGTTGAATGTCATGGAGTGGTGTGACTTCCGGTTTGTTTTACTTTCTGTCCTGATGATACCTGAATTGGTGGAGCGTTAATACATCTAGTACATCTCAAAAAAGCTTTTAAAAAAGCTGCAGTATTTGAAAATAAAAATTGACAGAATGTTTTGGGCCTCAAATTTAATTTGTTTACTTTTATTACTTAAGCCTCTTGAACCATTCTCATTCTCACCTCAGTTGACAGTCTAAAAAAATTGCTGAAATCACAAATTACCAAAAAAGGTTGCACAAAGAGAATAAATCAGGTTCAGATTTATATGCACAAATTACTTGATCTTCTTTGATTTAGGAGAAACCTTCGATGTTGTAGAAGAGTTTGATGTAGATTTATCTTTCTGATTGCTATTCTTTTTCGTTTCTTTTCCATCATTTTTGTCACTTGGGTGATCCTCATATCTTAGAAAGAACGGTTTATACAGTAGTTATAATAAGAAGAAAGAAGAGTTATAATATACTAAGTTAATTAAAGGTACTAATTAAAATACTCACTTGAACAGAGCAGAAATATCACCCTTCAGAAGCGCAATGGCTAAAGGTGTTCCTAAGCAAGCAGGCACCAAATACAGCAATGCAGGCTGAGCATGTTTATATTGATGCATAACAAAAATTGTAGCTAATAGCCCAAGAAAATATGCAACAAATGATGCATAAAAGTAAAGTTTAGTATTCCTTTTGAGACTAGAAATGTAAAATCACAAAAATATATATTTCCTGAATCAAATGAGATATAAAATTGTTTTCACATAACAAATATAAAATTGTTTTCACATAAAACACACACAATAAAATATTTTTAAAAATTTATATACTAATACTTAAATCTATGAACATCTGCTGTCTTTTAGAGTTTATATATATGTAAACACACACGTGAAGGGGCTTTGAAGGTGAAATGGCTTGCAATAGGTAAGTTAAGTTGAGCAATGTCAAGCACCTACTGGGGGAGAGTATAATATAATACACGGATTACTTAGGTAGTACACCAACTGTGGTAGTTAATAATTCTTAGTTTTTTTAAGAGAAGGTGCTAGAAACAATAATTTATTCACATTGTAACCTCATATGTTATTTTTTTGTTCTTACAGTAACACTTTTTAAAACGTCGTTGATGTTAAAGAGGTTTTGAGGATTAGTGTTAAATTGTTTTCAAGAGGTAAACATGTTCAGTTTCAAGCCAAATAAAGCCATTTGTGGCATGTTTACTGCTTTTCTTGTTTAGTTAAAAGAAAAACGCAAATGAAAGTCATCATATACGTGAGGAAACTTATGGTAATATCCAAAGCAAGACGCTAGAGTGCATTGGTTTAAATGATTTAAAGTTGTGATTTTAACTAGAAAGACAAAGAACTTAAAAAGTTAACTGAAAAAAACTTCCTGAATTGTAAACATAGTTGGAAGAAGACGATATGCAAACTCAATAACAAATGGCAGGGGGATTAAATATTGGTCACCAAACCATTTGCAAGTGTCTGCATGTCATAAGAAACATCCAGAAAGCAGGAAATCGGGTAGCATATCAGTTGAACAACAGACAAATAGAAAAGGGAAAAACAGTGTGTGAAGTTTTGCTTTCTAGGCTTAAAAGAAAGACTTTTTTGCAACAGATCATGACTGGAGATGAAAAATGGATATATTTTGAGAACTCAAATCTCAGAAAATCATGGGTTGACGAAGGACAATCATGTGCATTTGGTGAAATCAGAAGGGTGCCATGTACCATGAGCTTCTGAAACCATGTGAAACAGATGATAATGTTTGCTACCATCAACAAATGATCAATTTGAACCATAAATTAATAGATAAGTGACCGGAACAGGCTACAAGACATAGAAAAGTAATTTTGCTGCACAATAACGCTCCACCACACGTGACAAAAGCGGTCAGACACCATTTCTACACTTGACTGGGAACTCTTGCCCCACTATCCTTATTCATCACACTTAGCCACTTCCGACTACCACTTGTTTTCATAGATGTCTCATGCACTTTCCATGAAAAATTTTAACGATAACCGAGATCTTGAAAAAGAGAATATTCATAAATTAGCAGAGATGAGAAAAATCTTTTTTTTTTAACCCGGAAGTGATAACTAAAAAAATTATTAAGAAATGCAATAACCAATTGTTTCATAGAAAAATAGAGAAATATTACTTTAAATGGGAGTATAGTTTGTCTATGTTAAATCCATTTTGTTTGCTGTTAAATCCTAAAAGAGGACTTTTAGATGATTGAACTATGCTAAGTTCTGTTTGTAATAACATCATTGACTATTCAAGATTTTTATTTTATCACTCTCCAACTTGAGTACAGTTACCCCACTTAACTTCCTTCTTTAATAAGTTTTAAGTTCATATTAATTAATTTAAGGTTTATGCTAATTAAAGCATAACCTATCCTTACTATTCAACTTAAAATACCAGGCAAAATGGTTTGTGTTAATTAAATAAGATCAAAATTCTGGCACCAAATGTATTACTGCTTCTTATTGGTGATAGAAATGAAAACCATTAAATATGAGTCTGATGTTTTTATTTAAAAATATTTTGAACTATGACGTTTAATGAAAGAGGAGTTGGCCACCACAGTGAGCAGTTTCAGAAAAATACACCAGCAGTAATGGATGGCAGTTGCTACCATCCGCTGATGTGGGCAGCGAATAGTACCTTTAATAGTTAAAGTTCTAGAGTTGAGTTTGAAATCAGTGAATCAGTTAGTGATCCAATGAATTCTTTGTTAATAAATTGATACTTTATTTTTTTCTACAATACGCATCAGATAAAATATTTTATTGTTGTTACTAAAGCAATTACAAATCTTATATACAATGTTAATTCTGATCTCAGAAAACTTTAAAAAAATATTTCGATACATTGGATAAGTATCAATACTAAATGTATGGAAATTATTGTTCGATATTTACATCACTACTTTTTTCGAAGACTAAAAATATCCATATACTTTTTCAATATATGTTTTACTATTTTGATATATTTGAAAAATATTGGAATTTTTTTGATAATTACATTCCTACGATTGACTGAGACAGATCAAACACACAATCAACTTCAGTGGCACAATCACTCATCAATATATTGTTTAAAATATTCCATTTTAATAACTACTGTTTTTATTTACACAAGTAGCACATGTTTACACATTTTAATAGTTGAAACTAAAAAAAAAATATGCAACTTACTGTTAACTACTATTTAGAACAACTCAATAAACAGAGACAAGGAAATTAGATAGATATCTAAGGAATTTCTGAATCTAACTAACAAAAACAATAAAAATAAGTATAGTAGGAGAACATATGACCAGAACTGCCTATAAAAGAACTTCTTATGACTACTGCAACAAAAAAACTATTAATTAAATTTAATTGTCCTTCTAAAAATGAAAATATAAACAGCTAAAATTAAAACAAAATATAAATAGCAAAAATTAACTAACCCAAATTTTATGAAAATTTATGGAAGATATTAAAGCTTGGAACTAATGACGACTTTTGCAAAATTTACACAGAATTTCTGACTAATAGATATTCTGAAATAGCATGGCAGTACAGGAATCTGATCAGACATTAGAAAGAACAGGACTTAGTGCAGATAGAAGTCATTATTTAACACTGATTATTTAAAAGTATGTAATGATTTAAACTATCAGGTAATTATATAAGTAATGTCGGTATTTAATTTCATGATATAAGGGGTAGGATAAAATATATTTACCATCTTGTTCTATAATGTTCTACCATCTTGAAAGCAAATTTTATATACTTTTAAGAAAAATCTTTTGATTTTGAATTAAAGAAAGCAAACACCTTGTTTTTCACTTAATTGGCTGAATTCATGTCTCTCCCACTAAATGATTTATGGAGACTGTGAAAAAGTGATAATCCGAAGGTGCTAAAACAGGAGAATGTGGTGGGTGAGAAATAATTCCCCATAAAAAGTTCTTCAATTTTTGCAATGTTTCTATGGCAACATGGGGTCTTGCATTGTCATGGTGGAATAAAATACCTCGTATAGTGATAAGTTAGAGATGTTTTTCTTCAATAGCCCATTTCATCAGCTGATTACAGCAGAGATCTTTAATGATAGTTTAATTAAGATTAAGGAACTCATGATGATGGATTCCTTCCATATCCCACCAAACAGACATCATTACTTTTTTCGGATGACTAGTCCAGTAACTTATTACATTGAACGGAGTAGAAGGTTTCTTTTTGTTTTCTTGTATAGGATGACTGAGAAGCAAAATCCAAGTTTTCGGCCTCGGCAACCCTCTCCCCCTGGTCAATTTTGAATATCCCAGAAACTGCTATCTTTTCGCACATTTTTTGTTTTTTCCTTATTTTATCCATGAAGCAGCACGTTTTTGACAAAAACTATCTGTTACATTTTTAAACTAGATTAAATATGCTACAATTGAAGACCAGAACCGGCTCGGTATATCAAATAGTATATGAGAAACAGGTTTTCAAAGTTCGGAAAATTTTATTTCACATTTTATCTTCAATAACCTGTCAGTGAAGTAAATATTTATTCATTTTAAAATTTGGAAGGAGGGGTGATGGAGGGGGAAAGGTTTGGTGGGAGAGGGTGGTCTGGGGGCCAGTATAATACATACCGAACAAAAATACCAGTAAAGTCAATTTTTTTAAGTTGTTTAAATTAAAGTTGAAAATCAAGTGTCATTTGCAATTAAATGGCCAACAATAATGTAAAATACTTTAAAACAAAACATCTAGAGGATACATTTATCTATCTAAATCACTAATTAATTTTTAACATATTTGAAACGGTTTTTTAGCAAATGCACTTAATCAGCAGAAAAGTGGCACTGGTATAGGCACCTCTAGTCCTCGGCCACCTCATTCAACTCTCATAAATGGCATAGTTATAGTGCTACTCTCTTCATCTGTCAATTACATATTCCTTCCACCAAATGTTTGCATTAGTTCCTTATTATATTTTCAAATATTTTGGATCTTCTCAACAGTGATCGAAGAATTTCTTTTTTCTAACAGCTTTTTCTTCTTCGCTTTTTTATATATTTATATTTTTTGCTATGTCCCCATATCTAACACTGGTCTCTGAAATTAAATTTCTGAGTCGAGGAGAGTTTTAAAAGGTGTGGTAAGCACTTGTTTTTGTTGCCCGCTGGTTTATAAGGAAGAAGAAAGAACACAATAATCGAACTTAGGTCATTCTAGATCACGTATTTTATCAATTATCTTGTAATATTAGATTCACAGAAATCAACATTGGATTTATATCTCTTATTATTTATAGCCATTCCTATATCCATTTATCTTCCTCCTTCAAAATAATAAATTAAATAAATGTTTACTTCACTAACTCTTATAAGGCAGGTTATTGAAGACATAAACATGACAATTAGGTTAACTTTTTCAAGTTTCGAAAATTTCATTCACCTCATTTACAATTTTTATATCTACTTAATGTATATGTTTCTTAAATATATTTTTTATTTTAATTTCAGTCTTCTGGTTGTCAAAAGTGATCTCCCCCTCTCCCACCAAATCTCCTCTCCCTTCCACCTTCCTTCAAAATGCTAAAATGAATACCAATTGACTTTACTGAATCATGTAAGACAGGTTATTAAAGATATAAAAATAATGGCATATGATCCAACATGAAAAATAGCTTAAAGTTTTCCAGTTCGAAAAATTTCCAAAACTTTGAAAACCTGTATCACAAAATTAGAATTACACTTACCGAACCTGATTTGTTCTTAAATTGAAGCATATTTAATCTATTTTAAAAATTTATATAATATTTTTTGTTGAAAACATGCTCCTTCATAGTAAAACTGAGGAAAACCCGAAAAAAGTGCGAAAATACAGCATTTTTGGGATTTTCAAAAGTGATCCGGAGAGGGAAAGGGGGCGAGGTTGAAAACTTGGCATCTCAGTAACATCCCATACAAGAAAAATCTTGTGCGCGCATCTTTCACTCCACATCCTCTTCTTAGCAGAAATAAGTATTTTCAGTACAAAATTAAAAACATATTTTTCCTTTATATATACAAATTTTAATTAACATACACACACACACAGATCATTTTTCAGGACTTGATTATTTGGACTCAGGAGACCTCAAAACATGTATTCTTGTTGAAAACTCTGATTCGAAAATTTTCACCATCGCAATATTTATCCTCACTATATATTACATATATGGTAAGTGAAAATAAAGAAAAAGAAACCTTTTAACCCCATTCGATGCAATTTAGAACCCCCTTTTCTTGACAAGGTTAGTGGACTAGAACTCCTTCTCTTGATTCTGTTCTCAGTGATTCTACAGGACTTAACCACTTGTCATTCACTAATGACCTTTTCAGGTTTTCAATAAGTTGAAGCAGCAGTTTCTCCTTTGTCGAATTCTCAAAAACATTTAGCTCTATTTCATACTTCGATCTTTGATCGAAAGCAGTACTAATTACTATGAATGCAGTTTTATTATAAAAATAGTTGGACAAAAAATTGAGAAATTACAGTACAATTTTATAATTATTATACCCTAATTTTATAATAGTATAATTGATTCAGTTGATCTTTATAATAAATTTTAGCCTTTACATGTTCAGATAACTTCCATTGATTAATTTTACTAGAAAGAATAAGTTAAATCAATAATTTCAACCCACTTTTATAAAATAGGTTTTAGTTTTTAAAAAACTACCTGTTATCAAATCGCAACAAAAGAGCAATAAAAATTCCTGGTATAACAATATCACCCAATCCAAGCATTGCAAAATTATTAGCCTTTAGTCCTTGTTCAAGAAGATCTTGAGGAAATACCACTAAAAAAAAAAAAGAAAGAAAAAATTATTAATATTCACATTTCAAATTGTTGGTTAGGACTACAATTTTATTTTAATAAATAATAAAAAACAACATTTGATTCTCACCTCAGTCCTACTTTATTTTCCTTCATTTACAACCAATGTTTCAGCCCTTGGAATATTCAAGGGAAGAAACCTTACTTTAATATAAAAATAAAATCATTTGGACTAATTTGTCCGTCATATACTTTTGTATAAACTGACTACACCTACACTCACAAGGTTATGTTTATTTGAGAATAACCTCTTCAAGTAAGTTGGTAAAAATTAGACCAAGTTTCTCGACAGTATCATTTAACCAATTATTAAGTTGTGGTATAATTTGATGCAAAATTTAACATTCTTTAATTTCTTGAAGTTATTTTCTATTTATTGGTGAAAACACAAACGTCTTAAAAACATTTTTTTCTTCCACTAAGTTCTCCTGAGATGGCCCTGTTAGCAATTTTTGTTTCTTAAATGTTTGCACTCATATATACAAGATTAAAAATGAAAACTTTAATTACACTTTGTCGCATTTTGATCCTAAACTATCAGACCAAATATTTTTTGAAACCAGCAGCTTTGGAATGGCAGACAAAATTCATTTTACTTAAAATAACAACTTCTGTAATTCGTTCTCAAACCTTTTCCTGCTAAAAATACATTTTTTAGGATTTGCCTCAAGATTATAATCTGGTTTTAGAGAATTTAAAATAAAGAACATAATGTATAATGTAAAATTTGTTGGATTTTAAATTTTTAACAATAATATTACTGGATGAACCAAAAAATATTTTGACCTTCTTATGCCGATATATCAATAAATCGATGTTAGACTCAATGTTTCTGAACATCGATATATTGATATTTTTCTCTTCACAAGCCATGACCCGTGAGACTTTGAGGTCTCAATGTGGCCCACAGGCTAAAAAGTTTAAAGACCCCTTCATAATTTAATCAAAATAAAAGCATATTTTTTTAAAATGTATAATTCAGGTATACTTACGTTTTATGGGTGCTTCAAATGACTTTGCAACTGTTACCATGACATTAGTTCCAAAAACCCAAAAAATGTCATAAAAAAACAGGCCACATAATAATATACAACCTGTGACAACATTATTTAACTGTAGAAGTTCAACTCCACTAATGGCGAAAGAAATTCCAAAAAGATTGTTCACGATCCAATGCTAGAAAACCAAGTCAAAAATTAAATAAAAGAAATAATATCACTACTGTTAGCGCAAACGGCCGTAAATAAAAATTGAGTGTTTTAGAGGAGAAAATTAAAAACTGATTATTTCTTTATGATTTATTAGTGTAATTTTATATTTTATTTTCTTCTTCTCTTTTTCATAAAAGCAGACTACTTATAGCAGTTGCAGATTACAAAATGTCACCTTTAGTACAAATAGAATAAAAATGTAAAATTTTACTAATGACCTTTTGCACTAATAATAGTGATAGTGATATGTGTCAAACTGGTTAGGAATAGGTTTTACTATTGAGGTTACTTATTATCAAACATAATTTAAAGGAACAGACAGATCAATTTTATATACAATGTAAGGATAAATTGATACATTAATTGATCTTAAGTATTTATCATCAATATCTACCCTCAACAGATTCAACATAACTATATTATTTTGATACTAACATAGGGAGGTTACGGACATGTGGTCACCAATATTAATGTAACTTTTTTTATTGATACTAGGTCGAAAAATATTTGACCCATGTCCGAGGGTTCTTGCCAATGCACCCTAGGAGCCGAGAAAAAAAAATTTATACTATTTCATTATTTTTTTATATTAATGTTTTTTGACTTAGCTCTGCATGGAATTCCAAGTTATTATATATCAATCGATTAGTTTTTTTAGGATTGGTAATTGGGTTAAACTAAGTCAAATGTACAATAAATTACAAAAACCAAAAGACTCTTCCAGTAAAGTACGTCAAGTATATTTATGTCATGGAAAAACGATTCAAATTGGTTTTTAGGGTCCATTAAAACTCTTAAATATGAGTTTTTTTGGAAAACAGAAAATATAAATTTTTGGACTTAATTTTCTGGGTGGATTTTTTTTTCATGTTGTTTACTAAAATATTCATAACTCCTCAGGCAACATTAGTAAGATTGAATTAACAGAATCTGTTATTTTGTCGAGATTCGATCCGAAAATAAGAATAAAGTATGTATTGTACATATTATACCATGAAATATATTTTTGGGAATAAAAAAAAAAGAAACTGATAAGAGCTATTAATTGAAGGCAGAATATTGAGAAAATAATTTACATTTTTTGATTAAAATGAAAATTTTTATTTAAGGGTTATAGAGGCAATATTATCGTTTTTTTTTTTTTTTACCCCCAAAAAATATATTTCAAGGTATAATATATACAATACATAAGTTATTCTTATTTTCGGATCAAATCTCAACAAAATAACAGATTCTGTGAATTCAATCTTACTTTCGATACCGTCCGGTTTAAAAAAAACATATATATTTAGCATAGCGCTATAGAATGAGTACAATATTAAAATAATTAGTACTGACCCCTATGGAGTAAAGTGGGTTCAAATATTTTTTTAAGGAGAAAAATAGATGAGATTTGTATTTAGCATCTCGAAAAAACCATAAATACAAATTTTCATACCAATTGAAAAATAAAAATTATTTGCTCAAAATTTCCACCAAGCCTTCGATTTTTTGCTGAAAATCATAAAAGTTGTGATAACTTTGACATGGCTCCACTTATTAATACAACAATTAGAATGCATTTAGGGCTTTATAATATACATGAAATGACATAAACCAGAGGTCCATAAATAAATTAGGTTTGGAAATAAAAACGTTTGGGGAGTTTTCATTTAATTTTCCTTATAAAGGTGTGAAATCTGAAAGTTATTGATATAGTTTTGAAGAGCAATAATTTATCTTTCCAACGGTTGTACTAATATTGACTTAAGAGGAACCTGAGGAGTTATAAATAATATATAAATATTTATAAAATATAAATTACTAAAACGAATTTGAATCGTTTCTCCATGACATAAATTTACTTGATCTACTTTACTGGAAGCGTCTTTCGGTTTTTGTAATTTATTGTACATTAGACTTTGTTTAACACAATTACCAATATTGTTTTCTTATTTTACATAAAAAAAACAATCAAGTAATACATAATAAGATTGTATAATTTATTTTTCTCGGCTTCTAGGGCACGATAAATATTTTAGTAAACGGTGTGAAACAAAATCCACCCAGAAAATTAAGTCCAAAAATTTATATTTTCTGATTTAAAAAAAAAAAAACTTGTATTTAAGAGTTTTAGCGAACTCTAAAAACGAATTTGAATCGTTTTTCCATGACATAAATTTACTTGATCTACTTAACTGGAAGCGTCTTTCGGTTTTTGTAATTTATTGTACATTAGACTTTGTTTAACACAATTACCAATATTGTTTTCTTATTTTAAATAAAAAAAACAATCAAGTAATACATAATAATATTGTATTTTTTTTTTCTCGGCTTCTAGGGCATGATGGCAAGAACCCTCGGACATGGTTAAAATATTTTTTGACCTAGTATAACCAAAAAATTTTTTATTAAAATCGGTGACCCCACGTCCGTAACCTCCCCTTGTAAGATTAAAAAATGCTAACCAAATATTTATGTTTTATACTTCTAGTTACATAAACATTAAATAATCATAAAATAGTCCAAAATAAGACATACCTTTTTGAAAAGATACCAAACACCAACAACTGTGCAACAACCAAGACAAAATATGTCATAAGTAGTGAATTCATAATCAATAAGGTGTTCTTTGTTTTGCCCCTTCCCACGAACAAAAGTTAAATGGAAATCGAGATTTGGTATGGCTGCAGGAACAAGTGAGCTAATAACAGGGCTGAAATAATGCTAAGTCATTAAAATAATTTCTTAATATAAAACAATAAAAAGGATTGTTTTAAGGCACAAATTTCATAAAAATGGATTCATGATATAATTCTCAAGCTATCAAACTATACTTGATCAAATTTATAGGACTAGATCAGAGCAGACAAAGGAATCCATAAAATATGGAGATATGACAAGAAAATTAAATAAATAAAGTAAAAAGACAAATAAAAAATATTTCTGTATTTCATACAGAACAATAACATCCCCTAATATTCTTTATTTTTGTTTTTCTATTGGGTTCACAGATCTTTTTTGGCCACCTGTACCAGATAAAAACATTTGGGCTAATTTGCAGTTGTCACATACTTTTGTCTAAACTGAAACCACAAACAAGATTATGTTTACTTTTTATATGAGAATAAAAAAATAAACATAATCTTGTGAATGGAGGTTTTGATATAGACAAAAGTATGTGATAAGGATAAATTAGTCCAAATCAACTTCAGATATACAACTCTGCAGCAACTTTGTTGATTTGACCTATCCACCTGGTTTTTAGCCTCCCGCATGGTCTCTTTGCCAACTATTGAGGCTTCATCGTAGTATCGAGGTTTTCTGATGGATTGCTCCAAGCAACATGTCCTCATATCATAGAATATTGATTAACCAGCTTCTATTGTTTATTTATTGGTCCTTCTCCTCCATTATCAGTAGTTTGATCCCAGATCACTTCGGTTATCTTGAAGAGAATTTTCTTCTCAAATCATTCAATACATTTTTTCAGGGTGTTGGTCAGTGTCTAGGTCTCACAGAAATGGCTTTATCATCTCCTTGTACACACTTAATTTGATATTAATAGAGATTTTTTGGGTTTTCAATGTCATTTAAAGATCTGTTTGCACCTGTAATACACTGGCCAATCTCTGACCATTCATTTAAGTTATTGTGGAACGAAGTGTTTGAATCTGTTGGGAACAATGCCCCTTTTATCCAGATCCTATTGTTAGAGTAGAATTTTCTGCCTACTTACATGTACTTAGTTTAATCTTTATTCAAATTGTAGGTTGATTTTCTCTGATTCTCTAATCAGAGTCTTAGAGGAGTCTCTCTATGTCCTGTAAGGGGCAGCAATGTCATCAGCATATCCAAGAATTTTATGATTCTTTCCAATGTGCACCCCTTCATTTTCATATGGTGTTATTCTTATCACCTACTCTATTGAGAATAGGTGACATTAATATATGAATTTAATAGGCGACAAACTGGAAAGACAAATGAGCTCACTACTTAATCTTTAGAGTTTGAGAGGTTACAATGTCACTGAGGCCCTACATTATCTACTATCCAAGAGATATAGCCTTTCCAGAAGCAAATCTAAGTCAATATTTGGGGTATTAAGCAATTAACTCATCAGAAAACCTGAAATTAATCTAAAAAAGAATTTTCAACCACAATAAAAATACCTTCAGTTAGGAATAAGAAATAGTTACATCAGAAAATTTATTTAAGCTTACCTCACCAAATGGCATAATGCTAATACACCAAGGACAAAGAAATATCCAGTTAGAAGGAGATTAATATAATCTTTTGAAAAAATCTGAAATTGAAAAGAACATAATTTAATAAATAGAGTAATACTATTACAAACATTTAAAAATCAATAACAATGAACAAAAATAATATAATTAAAATACAATTAAAGTATATCATAAATGAAAATCACTGTTTTGAAATAACAGGCCTTAAAAATATCTATGTATTTTTTTTTCTCAAATTATATAAAATGAAGTTAATTACTGATTGATTATATGATTCTTGTTCAGAAATGGCACGACTTCTTCAATTAGAACTACAGTTTTCCAAAGTAACAAGTCATTCATTAGTATATTAAAATTAACATCATCAATTTTATTCACACATAAGCCTACTGATTATGGGGTTGATATTTATTTCATATGGGGATTGTTTGTTTAGTTAGGGAGGGTATTAATTTCAAATTTTAAATTGGATTTTCATTTGTCCTAATGGATCTCAATTTTTTTTTTTTCAGTACAAATGTATAGATTCAATGATTTTTAAAGGGGCTTGGAATGACCAAATTTTACTTCAAAAAGGTTTAATGTTATTGACAAAAATGTGAGAAAACAGAGAATTTCTAAAATTATAAATAATTACAATCGTTGATGGACTAACAAGGAGAGTGTTTTTAACATCAATTTCGATTAAAATTTCTCAGTGATTCTGCAAATCAACACATCATTGTCTGTTTTGTCCAATGGGTCTTAGGAGCTGAGAAAAATAAGCTAAACACTCTGAAACTGTTTTAATGTCTCGAGCTCGAAAAATAATATCGATATGGTTCCGACACCAAACTTCTTTTTCTAGAATAGATAGAAGGAAATATAAAAATGTTAAAACATAATTGTTTGTAGACCATAAAAATTAAAAAATTGTTTTAATTATCAAGTGAACAGTAGAGCTTTTTTAAAACAAAAATTGTTAAATATTTCTATTCAGAACATAAAAAAAAACTTTCAAAATAATATTTAAAAAACAGAGATTTTTTAAGGATAATATTGGTTCTAAAAAACTTAGGAACACCAAGATTACAATACATTGTGTAGTTTAGGACCCCTTACCGCCTTTCCAAATTTGGTTTGAATTAGTTCAACGGTTCCTGAATTATGGATAAAATTTAGAACTTAAAAAAAAAATTTGAAAAGTGGACAACAATGTTTATCAAAAATTACTTATTTTTAGATTCACCTGAAAATTTTAATACATATACATCACAGTGCTAAGAACATGTCAGTTTTGAATACAAAAATCTTACTGATATACTCTACTCTGTTGAAGAATATTGTTTCATTACATACAATTCAATATACACTTCAGACAGATCAAAAATTTAATTTTTTCATTCTATAAAAATTGTAACAACTTGAAATTCACTAATTCTGAGTCAATGTCGTCCCTCATAAAAAATTATTTTAAATGTATTTTATTAGCTTTTATAAATAAAATAAGCTAGGAGCTGAGAGAGGTAGAGCAGTATCGTATTTGGCAGCAGTACACAAACTTCACCTTAAGTCTCTTTTCTTAAACTCCTCTTTTATTTTCTAAGACGCACTAACTAACGTTAATTCAAGTTTTTATCTAAATATGAACATTTTTGAAAAATGCAATCTCAACCTTAAATGCATTCTTTATCACTAATTCTATTTCAGTTCAAATTTATGTTATTTTTTTTCTTATAGATTTTATAATTAAATGGAATCCTTCAATTTGTTTTGTTAATCACTATATATAAAAGGAACTTTGAATGTCATATTGATTTTCAAGTCTGTAAATGTTATTAATGAGCTATTCTCTATTTTAACAGGTGGAAAATTATAGTACTACACCACTAAATGCTTCTTAAGAAACTGAATGTGTAACTGAAGTTATTGTATGCATTTTAGTTATCCTTAACATAAACGTGAGACTTATAGCAGAGTAAATTAAATTTCATTAATGGAAAAGAAATATTTGCAAGTATAGTCGTGGGTAACAGGTAGTAATTAATACAAACAGCATTATTCTTTAAAAAGGATATTACTAAATAATAATAATAATAATGAAAGGTTTAGCAAACCCAAAGGTTCGATGGCGACACCACCAATAGCTGTTTACAGACTTACCTCCACCATCCCCATCCAAACCCAACCCCACCAGATCAGCATTAATGCAATTTTCCCATATTCGCTTAGGTCTACCCCTCGGACATTTACCAATCAGTGCAGCATATATTTATCTTGTAGAAATTATTTCGTTTTTTTTCCTGTTGGCTTAAGGCACTGCGACCTTTGAGGATCTATTGTGTGCCATATATTGGTCTGTTTTAATATTAAAACGTTAGTTTGGTCACTTCCGCATATTTTAATAGGCTTAAAGGATTAATGGACTCATAGCTTCTGGGGTTATTCACAAGGTCCTCCCAAAATAGCTCAAGTCTAAACCTTGCAAACCTGTCACATCGACAAACAATGTGAAAGGTTGTTTCATTCTCCTCATGACAGAGAGGGTTTCTAGTCACTTGGAAATTCAAAATGTGATAGTTTAACTTAAAGCGACCAGCATAGATCACTGTAAGTTTTTTAACGGCTGTTCTATCCAAGCTCAGTAGCAGCTTACTTCTTTTATCACAAGGCCCTTTAAGGAACGGCTTCGAGTGCCATTGTTCCTTTTCAGACCAGTATTGATTAAATTTTCCACCATACAACTCCCTGATCCTTCATTTGGAAGAACTAAGGCTGATTTCACAAACAGGTTTAGGAATTATGGGAATAGTGACTGAACCTAACCAGGCTAGTTTATCAGCCTCTTCGTCGCCAGGAATGCCCGAATGACCAGGCACCCACTCAATTGCAATCCTGTTAAGCTGAGCAAGATTGTTAAGCACTGTACTGCAATCTTTAACAACCTGTGAATAAGTATAATGATTATTTAAAGTAGCTATTGCTGCCTGACTGTCAGTGTAGATTATTATCTTTTTTCCAGTCACTCGGCCAAGCAATAGATTTTGAGTGCAATAGCAGCAGATTGCCAGTACTTCAGATTGAAATACTGAAGTATATTTGCCAAGAGGCATTGAAAATTTGTCTTTGATAGATGCCTGCTCCTGAGTCATAACCTGTTATGTATGTCCAGATAATATCGGATTTGTAGGTTAGTGTGCATGGCTAGCACCTCGTCACACTCAATCTTATTCAGCAGTTTAGTATGTCCCTCCTGTCCACGGATATAAGAGCAGCTATTGAGCTTGCTCAGCCTGTATTATGTCCTGAATGCCTGAGCCTCAACCTCCAACTGCAGTGGTACCATGCTCAACATTATCTCCATAGCAGTCAATGGGATGGAACTCATTGCACCCATTATCATTGGACAGGCTAGTCTTTGTGATTTTCCTATTAAGGTTATATTAGTACCAGAAAGATCCCATCAGTGCCAGCAGATTTAAATGGAGAGAATGAATGCACTGTCCATTCAAGTCTGCTGTTTGTAATGACCCTCTTTGCCATATCCCAAACATACAAAAAAAGCACCACAATTCTGTGTAGTGTGATCAAGAGGTTCTATTTTTGTCAGGCAACAGTTGGGAAAGTGTGCTTTTGCTACTACGCTCAAAGTTTCAATTTCATTCTTGGTGTGCTTATCATCACTTTTGAGCGTCCCCAAGGTTCCTCAATTAGCTTGCTTAGACAGAATTTTACTTACTCAACACACAGCCAGAATATTATTCACCTCCAGACAAAACCTTCTTCAGACTTGTCTTTTGGCTTTCCTGACAGATTTGTGATACTCAGTAAGAGCTTTTTTATAGATATCCCAATTGCCAGATGTTTTATCAGCATTGAGTAATTTTCTTGTAAGTGTTCATTGCTTTGAAAGATTACTATTCCACCAGGAAAACTTCCTGTTGGTTATTGTATTTTTGGCATCATTACTGTTCAGATATGATTTAAGCACAGCATCAGTTAACGGTTTGTTAAGACATTCTAATTGCCATACATTGTGGATAACTTTGGAGTACGGGCGGATCTACGGGGGGAGGGGCTTTCGGGCTAAAGTCCCCCCCCCCCCAAAATGGTAAAATTTAACCATGTTTTATCGGAAAAAATAATAAAAAAATTATCTCTTAAAGTATAATTATTCATGTAATTACATTTAAAAGGGCTTTAGGAATCACTTAAACACCAGTTCATATAGGTATTTAGTTTCTTTCTTATTTTCCAAAGTAATTATCGTTAGTTTTATGAAAAAAATATCTTTCGGGCTGAAGCCCCCCCAAAATTAAATCCTGGATCTGTTAGTGCTTTGGGGCAGCAGTTAATAGCCTCCTCTAAGTTAGTACTATAAGAATCCCAATTTGTAAGTTTGAGATCCCCAAATTCTACATGTGTTTTTTTTTTATGTATGTATTCTGTCAGATATGTCAAATGTGATATACTTATGATCCGAGAATGTTTCTTCATTGGCCAGTGTTATGTCTATGATCTCAGATCTAACTCTATTACAAAAGGTGGGTTTGTTCTCCCTGTTTGGAATATCAAAATCATATTCAATAATAGTCTCCAAAAGTTTGTCACCTCAAGAAATTCTTTCGTTACTAAGCTCAACAATTTCCACACCTACTTTATTCGCCGTATTGTAATTACTTCAATTATATTAACCGGGTACAGTTCATGCAATTCAGTATTGTATAACTGTCTAAATTCTCCGGTCGACTCATCCTTTTTCAGTCCGAATATTCTACGCAATACTTTATTTTCAAAAACCTTAAACAGTAGGTAGGATAATGGTTTTGTAAATTTTAATTTTTAAGTTTTATGTCAGGAGGTGCGAGTTAAGTTGTTTTGTTATAGAAAAATAACAAGCACTTTCCCCTTCATCCTAACCTTAATTTCCTCTTCAATCTCATTTTTTCTAGTTATAGATCCTGAATACCTAAACTTCTCTACGTGTTCGATGATATTACCTTTTATATTGATATGACCGAAAGTGTTCTAGTTTTTACAGCTAACCATATAAATGTCTTATCCATATTCATTTTGAGCC